TCCTTCCCCGGAAGCCTCGCAGCTCCATGAGGGATCAAGCCCTCGTTGGCCATGTCGAGGAGATCTTTTTCTGTGATGGTCGACTGGATCCAGTCTCCTTGGACCCAGCCCTTCGACAGGCGGGATCTGGACGAAGACCCGCCGCGGCTGGTAGATCTCCCCTTCGCCTTCTCCGACGCCGACGCCTTCTTCGCACGTTCCAGCGCCGCCGTCTTCTCCTTGGCCATGGTTGCCGGCGAGATGCGCGAGGGGAAGTTGTGCGGGGGCAAGAGCGAGCGCGCTGGACGGAGACGAAGGGAGCAGAGAGAGAGAGAATGCTGAGGCACAGTACAAAAATCCTCGCCGGGCGCATTTATAAGGTCCCTTCCGAGTGGATGACAGGTGGGCCCGGTCGATCTAATCATATCCAGGAACAGTTATGCAGACGGGATACGTGGCGAAGAAAGCGGCACGGAGATCGAGGCGTCTATGTCCCGTCCCATCCGAACGCCGCGGTCCGCTCCGCTTCGCGCGCGTCCCCAAATTTCGCATCCCGCGGAATCCGCGAACGGCAGATCAGTCTGTCAGACGCGGGGTTTCCCGCGATCCGTCGCTCGGGGATCGTCGAAGCCCGAAAGATCACTCGACGAAAGAAGAGAATGGATCGAGTCGACTGAAGACAAGTTGCTCACCATCGACGAAGAGATTCTTTGGTCCAGAACAACGCACGACCAGAGTGCAAAGGTTAATCGGAAACGACATCAACTCCTTCCTCACTCGAAGCCTCAATCCATTCGGGGGCTAATGATGGGGTCATGTACCTAGGATAGGGTCATGGACCTGATCTAAGTACCTTACCCAAGGACACCCTTAGCAGAGGTCGCCTTCCAGTCGACCAACGAGGGACTCACTCGACTGACTTGAAGGACTCGACCACGAAGACTCACTCGACCACCAGAAGGTCAAGAAACACTCTACACTGCAACGGCCTGTAATTAAGTAGACTTTATGGTAGTAAAGACACTTTATGTGGGGCGTTATCAGTAACGCCCCGGACTTAACTCGCCTTAAACCCTCTCCTACGTGGGCTGACTGGGGTCCCGGCGCACTCTATCTAAGCCGCCCCCCTCCACAGGTAGAGGGGTTCGGCACCTTGTAACTCATATACTCATAATCCACTCGACCGCCTCCGGGCTCCGAGACGTAGGGCTATTACTTCTTCCGAGAAGGGCCTGAACTCGTACATCCCTTGTGTTTACAACCTCTCCATAGCTAGGACCTTGCCTCTCCATACCTACCCCCCACTCTACTGTCAGGCTTAGAACCACGACAGTGTGCTTCTTTCTTCTTCTGATGCGACAGAGTACAGGAGTATTGTTGGTGGGCTCCAGTACTTGACGATCACGCGACGAGACATTTCCTATGCTGTTAACCGAGTCTGCCAGTATCTGCAGTCACCCCGTGACACTCATTGGTCTGCTGTTAAGCGGATTTTGCGCTATATTCGTTTCACGGTGGCTCATGGTTTGCATATTCGGCCGTCTGACTCTGGTTGTCTTTCAGCATATTCTGATGCAGACTGGGCTGGCAATCCGGATGACAGGCGATCCACGGGGGGTTATGCTGTCTTCTTTGGCTCTAACCTGATTGCCTGGAGTGCTCGGAAACAGGCTACTGTCTCGCGTAGCAGTACTGAGGCTGAGTATAAGGCTGTGGCCAATGCCACATCAGAGATCATCTGGGTACAGTCCTTGCTTCAGGAGTTAAGTATACCCCAATCACAGCCTCCTGTTCTTTGGTGTGATAACATCGGTGCTACATACCTTTTTGCAAATCCGGTATTCCATGCCCGAACGAAACACATTGAAGTTGACTATCACTTTGTGCGTGAACGTGTCTCTCAGAAGCAACTACAGATCAAGTTTATTTCTTCCAAGGATCAACTTGCTGACATCTTCACCAAGCCATTGCCTTTGCCACAGTTTGAGACTTGCAGGCGCAATCTTACCCTTCTAGATTCATTAGAAAGTGGTTAAGATTGAGGGAGGGTGTTAGACTGTATTTACATGTGTATATTGTAACGTTGTATACCACCTCATTATATATATATATATATGTGATAGGCCACCTCTAGAGGGTTGTGCCGGTTCCCCCCAAAGCCTATTGTCTTACAGTCACGCGGTCACTATTCGCTGGCGACCGGCTCTCTGCCAGGGAGAATGATCTACCCGACGATCTGCTCCATATAAAAACCCTAGGTCGCTGTGGCCAAAGCAGGGATCGCGCGCGCGCGCACACACACATTAGAGTAGGCTAACAGGATTGCTTCATATAGGCCAGGTAGCTAGGAAAAGCGAACGTTAATGGTATGTGGTTATCATTGCCGCGCCCTGTTATCCACACATGATTTGCTGTAGTGTTGATCCCCAGATTAAATCTCTCGTGTCACAGGGGCCATTTGGCCTTTTCTTACAGCTCCTAATTTCTTTGAACCCAATCTTCACCCTAATTATAGGATCACTTGCTACAGCCTACAGGTAGCCTCCGTACGCATCAGCCTACAGGTAACCAGTAGTACTACCTGCGTATGCTGAAATACATGTCGGCTTCAGTATGACTAACCCATTTCCAATTTGATTGCTTATAATCTCTAAAACATGCAATTTTAAATAAGCATAGATAACCACGTAACACATGTGGTAAGTAATCTAAACAATTAAAAAAAATAAACATAGATACGTATATTTCATGACGGATTTAGTGGTACCTATCTACCAATTCGACACTACCGATGGATGTTGGTGATTCTTTTCACATCTGTACGTAGACAAACTTAATAAAAAAATATTGATTGAGGCACATGTAGTCTAGTGTGACATGTATATCGACAGGAGTTGAAGGGGTTATGCACGTAAGCGTTGCATGACCTACAGAAATATTTTGACGGCGTCAATAAATGTTTGCGATTCTTTCTGTGTGCAATTTAAAAATGTTTACTTGACCGCGACATTATTGTAAAATGACACATCTATATTGAAGGAATTGAAGGGGCTACGTACGTAACTGTTGTGGTTGATATGCGTGGTGGAATAGAATAGATGCATTACACGATTAGAGACGATGGATAGGACATGTCTGTTGCCATGCCCGTGCTAGCTTATCAATTGCTTGCTTTTCAGATAACTTGGAGTTATTTACCCAAAACCATCACATTATGGGCTAGGGTAACAGATCAGTACCACATTTGAGGCAGGGCACAAAAACTCACCAACAATGGGGCTAATCTGTAACGCGGAGCACCGACGCTGCGTTTTAGCCCAGAAAATAGCGAATCCGACAGGTGGGTCTTGCCTGTCGGGCTGACGTGGCAAATACCAAGCACACAGAAAAACTTTGACTAGCTGAGGTGGCAGATGAGCTGTGGGCCCCGCCTGTCATTGACTACATGGTCATCTTCATCCCATCTCTATTTCTATGGAGCATTGTGTCGAGCAGCTTGTGCGCGGCGAGCCATCTCTGCCGATGCAAGTCGAGAGCTCCATGGGCAAGGCGAAGGGGAAGCAGCGGCAGGACGAGTACTACCACCTCGCCAAGGAGCACGGCTACCGGAGCCGCGCGGCCTTCAAGCTGCAGCAGCTCGACGATCGCTTCCGGTTCCTCCCGTCGGCGCGCGCCGTGCTCGACCTCTGCGCGGCGCCGGGGGGCTGGATGCAGGTGGCCGTCGCACGTGCCCCTGCCGGCGCCTTTGTCGTCGGCGTCGACCTCGTGCCCATCCGCCCTGTCCGTGGCGCGCGCCGTGCTCGACCTCTGCGCGGCGCCGGGGGGCTAGAGCACGCACGCACACAATCACAGAGAACTCCGGCACCAGAAGAGAGGAGAGAGAGGAGAAAGAGACTAGTCAACCTGCCCACGTGGATTTTTTTTTGCCACATCATCCTGACAGGCAAGCCCCGCCTGTCGATTTAGCTGTTTTCTGGGCTAAAACGCAGCGTCAGTGCTCCGCGTTACAGATTAGTCCTATTGTTGGTGGTTTTTTGTGCTTTGCCTCAAATGTGGTACTGATCTGTTATCCTAGTCCATAATGTGTGATGGTTTTGGGTAAATAAGTCGATAACTTGCAGCACCAAGAAGTGATCCTAGCGCAAAATGAGTGCCATCCAAAGTCCCACGGGGCCGGCTAGGGCTAGGGTGCATGCAATGCAATGCATGCAGCATCTATCTGTGTGGTGGTAGTGGAGGATGCAAAGGTGTCAAGGTGAAAAACGATTAAAGCGAGGGAAAGATGCGGAAAAGCACTGCAGCTGGGTGGACAGTTACGAGACCAAATCTCTTTGTCTAATCAGCCCACACACACGACTAAGGTTTTAAATTTCGAACCTTATCAAAATATGCAAAATTTCGGAAAATTGGTATATTTCGGACATTACTTCGGATTTTGAGATTTTAAATTTTACTTAATTTTAATGAATTTTAACATAATTTAAATTTATTTTGAAATCAGTTTAAATCTGCTTTGAAATTTTGGCTTTAAAAATATTTTAGACCCTACTGAAATATGCGAAATTTCAGAGATTTCACTGAAATTTCGTTGCAATTTTCAACCCTGCACTCGGGCCAAAGATTTCACGACCAACGTATCTGCTCCGTCGGATGCGCAAAGGTGGATTCACTAGCGCTGAAAAGATGAGAGAGTATCCCCGCAAAAAAAAAAAGAAAAAAAAAGATGACAGCGTACGCCGGCAGTAGTCTCAAGGGCGAGGCAAGCGCTACGCCATGAGAGCGACCTCCCACCTTCCGCCTTGTGGCCCCTTTTATGCTCTGGCTGGCCTCGCTTTGTCTTCCCTATATCACTCCGTCGGTCGTTCCTTCGTCTGTCATTACCGCCTCCGTCGGTCGTTCCTTCCTCTGTCATTGCCGCCATCGACGGCCGCCGCCTTCGGCTCGCGACGGCCGGCTAGCAAAGCTGCACGGCCGGCAACGCCATTGAGCTTGAGTCTGCGTCGTCTCAGTCAGTCGGCGGCATGTCGAAGCGGCCGGGCGCGACCAAGAAGAGGCTGAAGCGCGGCCTCTGGTCGCCGGAGGACGACGAGAAGCTCATGAACCACGTTGCCCAGTACGGCTACGGCTGCTGGAGCTCTATCGCCAAGATTGCAGGTACCGTACCAACCTATAGCCGCATCCCTAGTTCACTACGGCCACTCTAGTATTTTATATCTAAATTAGAGACGGTTTCCTTTTATATGATGCAATTAATTGACAATGTTTTTTGTGTGGAGAACTAGTTAGAGTAGCAGTTTTGAACGGCCAAATGGATGGAATTAATCGTGTTTTAATCAATTTAGGCCTTGAGAGGTGCGGGAAGAGCTGCAGGCTGAGGTGGATGCACTACCTGACGCCGGACCGAGGGGGGCCCTTCTCGCAGGGGGAGGAGGACCTCATCATCCACCTCCACTCCATCCGGGGCAACAAGTGGTCTCAGATCGCCGCGCAGCTGCCCGGGCGCACCGACAACGAGGTCAAGAACTTCTGGAACACCATCATCAAGAAGAAGCTCCGCCAGCGCCGCATCGACCCTGCCATCCACAAGCCGCTCGCTCACGCCGGCGCTGCCGCTGCCGCCACGCCCGTCACCCGCACTGCCGTATTCAGCGAGGCCGAGCTGATACTGTCGTCGCCCGTGGGGACGCAGCCCATGCCGCCCCTGGTATCGGCGGAGAGCTACGTGTACAGCCGGGGCAGCATGGACGGCGCTGGCGGTGCGCACGCCGCGTTGGGCAGGTGCAGCGATGACGGCTCCCTGTCGTCGCTGTCGGGGTACAACAACAACCAGACGGCGGACTTCCCCGGGTACCTGGACGCGGACGCGCTGCACGGCGCGGTGATCCCGTCGGTGTGGAGCTCCAGAACGCTGAACTGGTGGCGGGCGTGAGCCCGGGCGGCGCGGTCAACACCAACGCCACCACGGACGAGCTGTGCTGCAACAACAACGACCCGGGCAACAGAGGCAGCGGGTTCGAGTCGTCGACGACGCAGAGCAGCAGCCACCACCACCTGCCAGATCAATGAGGACAGGCATCAAGCATGACACCGTCTTAACGCGAGAAGAACCCTAGGACCACCTTCTTTATCAGGCAGATCGGCAGGCCCTCACGCGGGCACCGCTGGCTTCTCATCTGTAAACAGAGATCTCCACTAGTAGAAAAGGGGCTTTCATTCGGGTCTGGTCAGCCCATTGAGCCCTGCTCGAGTGCTCCCTCCTAACCTAATTTTGGAGGGGTATTTTTGTCCCCGTGAAATTGTTTTTTTCCTGGCCCGCCACAGCCCAGATCCAAGCCCTGTCTAGCCCTGTATAACCTAGAACATATACGTACAGTACCCTGATCGAAAAAAAAACATCACACAACCCACGTCCACGTAAGACTTGCCGAATCCATTCATTCACGCGAGCAGCTCCATCAATCTCGCGAGCATTGACGCAGCTCCATAAGTCACGTAGTAGATCTCCAGTGGCGGCTATCTCGTCGCCGGCGATCTCGTCGGACAGCGGGCGCGACAACGTCGTGAATCTCCAACGAGCGCGCACAGGTACCGCATCCCGCGTCCCTCCTCTAGTCTTGCTCGTGGCAACATCGAATGAACTGCCGCCGCCAGTGGTAGTGGTTAACCTAGCGGGGCGGGTAACCTAGCTACCCGGCGGCGCATGCGATCGTGGATCTTGTTCCGGTAGTGCTGCTCCTCGTGATCTGGGTTCACGTAGCGTCGGTTGTCGTCGGCTGTGCGCACCACCGGTATCGTTATTTGATGTGGCGGCTAACCTAGGTAGGTAATCACAGATCAAGCTAGGTTTCGTGATCGTGCATTTCCTCGCGATTGAAAGTGATCACGACGGGTGTCGTGGCCATCTTCCTTACTAAGTTGGGCAGATCTGAACGGCCTCGGTTGCGGTTGTTTACATAACATCCATGATCGTGTGCTATGTGTTTCATATTTCATCATTGATAATGTTTGCACATGTGATGATACATAATATTGGTTGTAGGAAATGGCGGACGAGGAGTTAACTGATATCATGGTAGACATGGAGTTTGGAGAACTGATGAAAGACTGGATAGAAGATTGGTCAGATGATGAAAATTCAGATCGTGAAGATCGGTCAGAGAATGGGAACGAATGGGACGATCTTAATGTGAGTGGCATTGTCATGCTGTAATTTTTTGGTGGCATCCGACAACATTAAATCTTTGTGTTGAAAATTTATAGATCGATGAGCTTGATGATGATCAGGAAAACAACTCAGAGCTCTCGAATGAAGATTACATTAGTCAGGTACGTAAGTGAAAAATTTTGTTGGCATGCAAATTGAATTTCTTCAGGAATATTATATGATAAGTAATTATGTATTTGTGTTGTATTTTTCAGTTCATTTCTGAATGTTATAATGCGTACGACTATTACGGTGAATCCGACGCAGAGACAGGCCTTAACGACAAATCATTAGATGCACCTGGTTCTGGGGAGTCCGAGTCGTCGGTCATCATGAGTGAGGTATGTGTGTAATCAATGTTGTATGGAAGTAAGTAATGTTAAACCTTAGAAATCTGTTTTCATGGCTGTGGTTTGATTGTGTAGGTGACACAAGATGATGGGGCAAAGAATGTCCAAGATACTGCCAGTGCAGATGATAAGAGGGATATGTTCATGCAGATAATGGAAATGACCTTTACGTCTCACGATGCTGCGTATGATTTCTACAACAGCTATGCTAGAGACAATGGTTTCAGCATTAGAAAGAATAAGGTCAGGTATAGCAAAACAGAGTCACGTCATATGCGTTATAGGCGGTTTGTTTGTTCAAGACAAGGGAAACGTGACAGCAAGTTGCTAACCGAGGAAGGACACAGCCGTAGGCTCAGAGCCGAGACACGCTGCTTTTGCGAAGCGCACCTGACCGTCAAGCTTGACCAAAAGCGTGGGGTTTGGTATGTTGAAAGTTTTGAGGACAAGCATAACCATATGTTGGCAGGACCGGATGAGGTACCTTTTCTTTGGTCCCACAGAAAAATCAAAGAGTACCAGAAGCATGAGATAATGTCCATGGGAGCTGCAGGGATTAGAATTCATGACATGATGGATTGCTTCATCAGCAAACATGTATGGTACGGCGGTGTTGGTTTTACCAGGCGTGAAATATACAACCTTTGCGCCAAGGAGAAGAGGAAGCTGCTTTCAAAAGGTGATGCTGCCACAGCCATAGGCATCATGGCCAGTAGGAAACAGAGGGATCCTAGCGTCTTTTTCGAGTACAGGCTAGATAAGGAAGGACATTTGAATAGGATGTTCTGGTGCGACTCCCAGTCTCGTCATGACTATGAGGACTTCGGCGACGTGCTTGTATTTGACAGCACGTACAAGATGAACCGCTATGGTATGCCATTCATACCTTTTGTTGGTCTTAACAATCACCGGAAGACCATTGTTTTTGGTTGTGCCATAGTTTCGGACGAGACCGAGGAGACATACGTGTGGCTTCTGCAGACTTTTTTGAGGTCCATGTGTGAAAAGATGCCTAAGAGTGTTATCGCAGACGCCGATGCTGCGATGATCAAGGCAATTCGCGAAGTCTTGCCAGACGTGTGGCACCGTATATGTACGTGGCACATAGAGAAAAATATGAAGATTCACCTCAGTCACAAGTCCTTGAAGGAGTTCCGAACTCTTCTGTACTACAGCACGTCCACGACAACGTTTAAGGAGAGATGGCACACATTTTCCAAAAGTTGGTAGTCGGAAAAAACTGTAATATGGTTGAGGCGGATGTATAAGAAGAGGAGACTGTGGGCCGCGGTGTATCTAACTGAGGGGTTTTGACTTGGCATGAAAAGCAACCAGCGGAGTGAAAGCCTGAACTCATGCCTTCACCTCCACCTAGACGGTGAAATGACCCTGGTGGATATGATTTTGCACTATGAGGACGCAGTTGTGCGTATCCGTGAAAACGAGGCGCGAGATGACTGCACGGCCTCACAGAGTTTACCGGTGCCAGTTACTAGCTCGAGGGAACTTGAGATAGCTGCTTCTCACGTCTTCACTCCAGCAAACTTCTATATGTTGCAAGATGATCTTAGAAAAATTGACGGCATGGAGATTGTAGAAATTAAGCTGGGAGACGGATCACAGCAGTACATCGTGGCCTGGAAGAATAACCGGAAGCGCCATTTTTGGGTGGAGTATACACCAGTAAATTCCGCAGAAACTATAAGGTGCAGCTACAGAAGAATGATTCGAAAGGGTCTACCTTGCAAGCACATATTCCATGTACTGAAGCACTTGAACATATCTGAAATACCAAAGTGTTTAGTTCTTATTCGGTTCACGAAAGAAGCAAGGTTGGGACTACCCACGAGGCGCACAAGTGATCTGTTGGGATTTGGTTGGACTGGGGCCGGGGAAAGAATGAAATATAGCCAGGTCAGTGTGTTAGCGTCTGAAGCTATGCATGCGGCATGCAAACACCCTGCTTTGTGGGATCAGTTACAGGAGAGTTTGAAGGCTGTGATAGCTAAGAGTCATGAGTATGATCTGATACAGGAAAATGTGTTGAAGCAAACAAATGACATCAGTAAATGTGCAGTTGAATATGTGGACGATGGTGAAGGCAACATGATTGAGGTTAAAGATCCTATGAAAGTGTCAAGCAAAGGTGCAACAAAGGCAGATGAGAGCTGCCCTGTCTCGAAAAATGGTAGACCACTCTCTTTTGATGAGTTGAAAACCCGGTGCAGCGCTTGCAAATTGGTAGGACACACTAGACGTAGCAAGAAATGCAAACAAAATCAGAAGTAAGTGTTTGTATGCATTGTGGATTATTAAAGTTTGTATCATTCATTAACTTAGCTTGTCTTCTATCAGGTGCAGAAAAGTGGAGAAGGAACAAGAGTAGAACACTTGCTTCAATTATTTACTGTGTTAATCGGCCGGCTCATACTTCGGCTAAGGTAGCTGTAGGAACTTGTGTTTCTTTGGTTTGGAGGCTTTGGCCCCGTGATTGTATCCTTAGTGTATTATCAGACGAGATCCCAATCTTTGTTTAAATAAAGTAAGATGTTTTCCTGTAAACAAAAATCAAAAAAATTCTTTACTGTGTAATGACCGGGGCGGGAGGTAGAAAGAATATTATTGTACATTTCCCCTGCCCACGTCCTAAATGCCATTAAATAAGTAACTGAACCACTCTCCTCCCCACCACACACTCACCCACCTCCCACGGGCGCCGGTTCGAACTCCCCTCTTATCCCCACCTACAGTAGATCGAGAATACCCTCGCCGGCGACCGCTGCAGCCGCCTCCATGGAGAGAAGCCTCGGCTGGCAGAGAGCGATGATTGACCTCGCCGGCGATGACGAGGGGTGGCGCGCGCAGTTGACGGAGGTGTGCAGCTGGTTCCCCAGCACGGAGATGTTGGCCAACCACGCGCGTGGCCTTGTCAAAGTCCTCACCGACGCCGAGAGGAAGCGCGCCTTCCCCTACGGCCGCGGCGTCCCGCCGGCTGTCCTACTCGTGTGGGCAATGCGAGAGGCCACGCTGAGCGACTCCCCTGTTCAGCGCGCAAGGTGGTGGATGTACCGCTCCACCACCATGACGCTGCGGCCAGATTCAGCACGCGTCGCGTCGAGGGTGGACCGCATCGACGTCGAGCTTGCTATCCCTGCGCCCGTCAGCCCGGACTACCAGGTCCGCCATGTGTCGAAGCCAGTGCTGCCGTTGGACCAGGAGGAGGGCGAGGAGGACGTTGTGCAGATGGTAGCGCCGGTCGCCGTCGAGGGTGGCAAGACAATGCCCATCGACGTCGAGATCCTTCCCCTCCACCCCGGCATAGTGAAGGTGGAAGAAGAGGAGGTGGCTCAGGATCAGGTGGCGCAGCTGTCCAAC